CGTGAGTTCGCACCACCACCATGTGTCTAGAATCGTCGTTTCAGTTAAATCGGCCTGGTTATTGCTCGCGTTGTGCTTACCGCTTAGCAGCAAGAATGCTTGGTTGATAGGTCAAATTGACTCTTTTACACGTGGACCAGCTGAGTCAAGAAGAAGATCCTTCGGGTTACTGCATGCAAGCCGGCGAATGACTGCCACCCATTCTTTGTGGCGTAATCGACACGTACGTGGCGACCTATGCACCGGTCAAAGTGCTTCCCGAACTGGTGACTGTGTGCGCATCACCGGCTTTCTCCTCACATTCCTCATCGACAATCCCGGTCTCTACACCTCGGCTCTAGCCGCTTCCACCGCCGCCACTGAGGCGACGAGAGGGGAGCACGACGGGAGTGAGGCGCTGTCTCAGGAGGCTCCACCTCCACCACACGGCAAGAAGGCGAAAAAGGTGGCTGCTGCGAAGGCTGCTGCTGCGGCAGCTCAACAACAGGCTGTCCTGTCTGCGGGTGGATAACGGGCCAAAGCCGCCATGCTCTGGTCTGCCCGCGCCACCCAACATCTCGCCACATTCTGTCTGGCTGCCTATCTCCAAATCAACGTCGAGTTGATGATGAATCTACTGCTCTACATGTGCATCACGGCAGTGAAGAGCTTGCGTGAGTCCGAGATGCCGCGGACCGTGACGGCAGTAGCTCACACTCCACAGATGGACATTATTCAAAGGATAACAATATGTCATCCTCCGGTATGTCAAATGTGTAGTGGTTACTTGATTTCTCCAAGTCGCTACCTCTTACTCAATTGCATGGCGATTCAGCTGCGTTACCCAAACTCGCACGCGTACTACTTCTCCAACACGCTTCTCTACCAGTTTGCGGAGCAGTCGAAGGAGCAGATGAAAGAGCTGATTAGTCGTGTGTTGATGGAATCAGGTGCCTAATCGTGCATCAGGCGCCCCGTGGGTTCTTGTGATGGCGGCAGCTGAACTTTTGAACAACCCCGTCTACCGTTTCTGGGAGCATGCGTTAGTCTGATTCCACGAGGATATGTAGAAATGAGTTGTTTCCAGTAGCAGTACTGATTCTAATCCAGAGGTTAAACCTGGGCAGTTTGATGTGAAAGCAAAACTTGTAAGATATTTGGAAATGTCTGTCCGAGTGTCTGCATTTGATATATCAGTTTTTTTCTTTAGGCAGCACAGTAACCGTTATTGGACGTACCTGCAACTGAAAATCTGACTCACTTGTAAGCATTGTGGCTCAGTCTTTATTCGGCGTCGCAGCTGTGGCAGCAAACCACTTGGCCACCACTCGGAGCCAATCAGCTGCCTCCCAGTTGCCGTCCACGCAACTCCCAGCCGCCGGGTCCTAGTGAGGTTTTATTGGCCACCCAAATCAGACTACGATTTTGATGGTTTAAATTCGCGGACAATTAGTCACTTTGATTTTAAACCTATGATCAAGTATTAAACATTACAGGTTCTAAAGCACCTCGCTAATTGAAAGATCTGAGATGAATTATGAGTTGGTGTCCGTGTCTAATAGCTCAAAATTCTGACAAAGACTTTTCCACAAGTTCGGTGAATGCATTCGAATGCATTTTTAGGTCTGTGCATGATGATTTAAATGAAATTAGATTTGTGGTTAAATCGATCTTATAATCAGGTCTGAAATTGGAAATTATTTTGCCTAATATACTCAACAATGAATCCACTGCGTTGGGGGAGAGAGTGTGCAGTTTCTGATCCCACCAATGCAAACATAGCGCTTGCTACGAAAACTGCCTTCTTAATTTGTGGTTCTGTTACTTCGATGATCGAACACGCATGTTTAACGAGTCATGGTGGAAGTGAAAATGAAAGAATGTTTTATCATTGTTGCAAATACTAAATCTTTTTTAAAATTGAACAGACAAAGAGACCTGAAACAGACGAGACAGGCTTGACGTTGCCTTGGCTAAAATGGATGAGATATTTTTGGCAAAGGCGGTATTACAAGTAAGGTAAATTAAATTACGGAGAAAGAAGAGCATGCTTCGACGCTGTCCACGTCAACCTCCCGACGTCCGCCCACGTGTCCTGTTCAAGTTGATACGCAGTATTAAGGTAGGTACCTCTTCTTCTTCTCATGCTGCAA